GTTATGGGTTATGGGTGTAGATATGGGTGAGTTATGGGTGTAGTCATGGGGTAGTCATGGGTGGTTATGGGGGTAGTTATGGGGGTAGTTATGGGGTAGTTATGGGTGTGGTTATGGGGGTAGTTATGGGGGTAGTCATGGGGGTAGTCATGGGTGTGGTTATGGGGGTAGTTATGGGGGTAGTTATGGGTGTGGTTATGGGGTAGTTATGGGGGTAGTCATGGGTGTGGTTATGGGTAGTTATGGGTGTAGTTATGGGTGTAGATATGGGTGTAGTTATGGGGTGTAGTCATGGGTGTGGTTATGGGGGTAGTTATGGGGGTAGTTATGGGTGTAGTTATGGGGGTAGTCATGGGTGTGGTTATGGGGGTAGTTATGGGGGTAGTTATGGGTGTAGTTATGGGTGTAGTTATGGGTGTAGTTATGGGGTGGTTATGGGGTAGTTATGGGGGTAGTTATGGGGGCAGTTATGGGTGTAGATATGGGTGTAGTTATGGGGTAGTCATGGGTGTGGTTATGGGGGTAGTTATGGGGTAGTTATGGGTGTAGTTATGGGTGTAGTTATGGGTGTAGTTATGGGAGTTATGGGTGTAGTTATGGGGTAGTCATGGGTGTGGTTATGGGGGTAGTTATGGGGTAGTTATGGGTGTAGTTATGGGTGTAGTTATGGGTGTAGTTATGGGGTAGTTATGGGTGTAGTTATGGGGGTAGTTATGGGTGTGGTTATGGGGGTAGTTATGGGGTAGTTATGGGTGTAGTTATGGGTAGTTATGGGGTAGTTATGGGTGTAGTTATGGGATGGGTGTAGTTATGGGGTAGTCATGGGTGTAGTTATGGGTGGTTATGGGTGTAGTTATGGGGGTAGTTATGGGGTAGTATGGGTGTGGTTATGGGGGTAGTTATGGGGGTGGTTATGGTGTAGTTATGGGTGTAGTTATGGGGTAGTTATGGGTGTAGTTATGGGGGTAGTTATGGGTGTGGTTATGGGGGTAGTTATGGGGTAGTTATGGGTGTAGTTATGGGTGTGGTTATGGGTGTAGTTATGGGTTGGTGTAGTTATGGTAGTTATGGGGGTAGTTATGGGTGTACAGTAGTTAGTAAATACAGGGTTAAATAAAACAATTGTTGACTTTATTACATTATTAATAAATGTTTGTACAAATGTTATACAAGACTAATAATTGTTTGTTACTACGAGCTGTTGTGAGTTTAGGAGAAACACCAGTAGCAAATATATCCTTAAAAGTATTAAAAGAGTTTTAAGTGACGGCAGTTATAGTGACACTATAGTGTATCATGGTGATTAGTGACACTATAGTGTGTCGTAGTGGTTATAGTGTGTCGTGGTGGTTATGGTGTGTTCGTGTGGTAGTTATAGTGACACTATAATGTGTCATAATTGTAGTGACACTATAGTGTGTCGTGGTGGTTATAGTGTGTCGTGGTGGTTATAGTGACACTATAGTGTGTCGTGGTGGTTATAGTGTGTCGTGGTGGTTATGGTGACACTATAGTGTGTGTTGGTTATAGTGTGTCGTGGTGGTTAGCACTATAGTGTGTCGTGGTGGTTATAGTGTGTCGTGGTGGTTATGGTGACACTATAGTGTGTCGTGGTGGTTATAGTGTCGTGGTGGTTATAGTGTGTTGTGGTGGTTATAGTGACACTATAGTTGTGTCATAGTGATTAGTGACACTATAGTGTGTCATGGTGGTTATAGTGTGTCGTGGTGGTTATGGTGACACTATAGTGTGTCGTGGTGGTTATAGTGTGTCATTAATTGGTTATAGTGTGTCGTGGTGGTTATGGTGACACTATAGTGTGTCATGGTGGTTATAGTGATACTATAGTGTGTCATGTGGTTATAGTGACTATATGTGTGTCATAGTGGATTTAGAGTTAGGTCAGGTCAGGTCAGGTCAGGTTAGGAAGGGTTGGGTGATTTTCTATGTTTTTTTACACAGAAAAGGGGGTAGGTTAAGTTATGTGACACAGGGATGGTGGTGAGATGATGGTGACATGATGGTGACACGGGGGTGATGGTGACAAGTGATGGTGACACAAGTGATGGTAACATAAGTGATGGTGACATGATGGTGATGGTGTCATAAGTGATGGTGACATGATGGTGATGGTGACATAATTGATGGTGATATAAGTGATGATGACATTATGGTGATGGTGACATAAGTGATGATGACATTATGGTGATGGTAACAAAAGTGATGGTGACATGATGGTGATGGTGACATAAGTGATGGTGACATAATGGTGACACGGGGGTGATGGTGACAAGTGATGGTGACACAAGTGATGGTAACATAAGTGATGGTGACACATGTGATGGTGACACAAGTGATGGTAACATAAGTGATGGTGACATGATGGCGATGGTGACATAAGTGATGGTGACATAATTGATGGTGACATAAGTGATGATGACATTATGGTGATGGTGACATAAGTGATGATGACATTATGGTGATGGTAACAAAAGTGATGGTGACATGATGGTGAGGGTGACATAAGTGATGGTGACATGATGGTGATGGTGACATAAGTGATGGTGACATAAGTGATGATGACATGATGGTGATGGTGACATGATGGTGATGGTGACATGATGGTGATGGTGACATGATGGTGATGGTGACATAAGTGATGATGACATTATGGTGATGGTAACAAAAGTGATGGTGACATGATGGTGATAGTGACATAAGTGATGGTGACATAAGTGATGGTAACATGGTGGTGATGGTGACATAAGTGATGGTGACATTATGGTGATGGTAACATAAGTGATGGTGACATGACATTATGGTGATGGTAACATAAGTGATGGTGACATAAGTGATGGTAACATAAGTGATGGGTGATGGTGACATAAGTGATGGTAACATAAGTGATGGTGACATAAGTGATGGTGACATAAGTGATGGTGACATAAGTGATGTGACATAAGTGATGGTGACATAAGTGATGGTGACATAAGTGATGGTGACAAGTGATGGTGACACAAGTGATGGTAACATAAGTGATGGTGACATGATGGTGATGGTGTCATAAGTGATGGTGACATGATGGTGATGGTGACATAATTGATGGTGATATAAGTGATGATGACATTATGGTGATGGTGACATAAGTGATGATGACATTATGGTGATGGTAACAAAAGTGATGGTGACATGATGGTGATGGTGACATAAGTGATGGTGACATAATGGTGACACGGGGGTGATGGTGACAAGTGATGGTGACACAAGTGATGGTAACATAAGTGATGGTGACACATGTGATGGTGACACAAGTGATGGTAACATAAGTGATGGTGACATGATGGCGATGGTGACATAAGTGATGGTGACATAATTGATGGTGACATAAGTGATGATGACATTATGGTGATGGTGACATAAGTGATGATGACATTATGGTGATGGTAACAAAAGTGATGGTGACATGATGGTGAGGTGACATAAGTGATGGTGACATGATGGTGATGGTGACATAAGTGATGGTGACATAAGTGATGATGACATGATGGTGATGGTGACATGATGGTGATGGTGACATGATGGTGATGGTGACATGATGGTGATGGTGACATAAGTGATGATGACATTATGGTGATGGTAACAAAAGTGATGGTGACATGATGGTGATAGTGACATAAGTGATGGTGACATAAGTGATGGTAACATGGTGGTGATGGTGACATAAGTGATGGTGACATTATGGTGATGGTAACATAAGTGATGGTGACATAAGTGATGACATTATGGTGATGGTAACATAAGTGATGGTGACATAAGTGATGATGACATGATGGTGATGGTGACATGATGGTGATGGTGACATGATGGTGATGGTGACATGATGGTGATGGTGACACAAGCGATGGTAACATAAGTGATGGTGACATGATGGTGATGTGATGGTGAACATAATGGTGACATAAGTGATGGTGACATGATGGTGATGGTGACATAAGTGATGATGACATAGGTGATGGTAACATAAGTGATGGTGACATATGGTGATGGTGACATAAGTGATGGTAACATAAGTGATGGTGACATAAGTGATGGTACATAAGTACATAAGTGATGGTGACATAAGTGATGGTAACATAAGTGATGGTGACATAAGTGACATGGTGACATAAGTGATGGTGACATATGGTGATGGTGATGGGTGATGGTGACAAGTGATGGTGAGTGATGGTGACATAAGTGATGGTGACATGATGGTGATGGTGACAAATTGATGGTGACATGATGGTGACATAAATGGATGCCATGATGGTGATGGTGACATAGAGTGATGGTGACGTGGTGATGGTGACATGTGAGTGATGTGACATATGGTGATGGTGACATAAGTGATGGTGACATTAGTGATGGTGACATGATGGTAACATAAGTGATGGTGACATGGTGATGGTGACATAAGTGATGGTGACATGATGGTGATGGTGACATAAGTGATGGTGACAAGTGATGGTGGCATTAGTGATGGTGACATGATGGTGACATAAGTGATGGTGGCATAAGTGATGGTGACATGATGGTGATGGTGACATAAGTGATGGTGACATAAGTGATGGTGACATTAGTGATGGTGACATGATGGTAACATAAGTGATGGTGACATGGTGATGGTGACATAAGTGATGGTGACATGGTGATGGTGACATGATGGTAACATAAGTGATGGTGACATGGTGATGGTGACATAAGTGATGGTGACATGATGGTGATGGTGACATAAGTGATGGTGACATAAGTGATGGTGGCATTAGTGATGGTGACATGATGGTGACATAAGTGATGGTGGCATAAGTGATGGTGACATGATGGTGATGGTGACATAAGTGATGGTGACATAAGTGATGGTGACATTAGTGATGGTGACATGATGGTAACATAAGTGATGGTGACATAAGTGATGGTGACATTAGTGATGTTGACATGATGGTAACATAAGTGATGGTGACATGGTGATGGTGACATAAGTGATGGTGACATGGTGATGGTACAGTGAACTAGATGGTCAACACAACACCACAGTCAACCACAGTCACCTCCCTGATGTTACTGTGGTTGGCTGCTGCCTTCACCACCTCCAGCCCGCTCTCCACCTGACCAAACACCACAGGGAAACTAAGAGAGCGGTGGTCCCTGGTGAAGATGATGAACTGTGCACCCCGGGCATCATCATCATAACACCACCTCACATCCCCCGCACTCCCTGACCCGCGGTAATCACCCTGGAGGTCAGGCAGTAGTGAGGCTCCTCCCCTCCCATCATTATACTGGTAGTCTCCACCCAGCACATACTCCCTCTCACTACCCTTGTTACACACCTCCAGTAAGTTTGTGTTGGCGTAGGTGTGGCCCCGCTGGCCCGTACACAACAACGTAAATTGTCTGCCGAGCGGAGTGTCGGGGCTAAGCCGGATGTGGACCCGGCCTCTTGTTGACCCGGCCCAGCCCAGGTCAAGAAATACCAGGGTGGAGGAACAGTCCAGGGCGCCCACAACGTCGGTGAACTGCACACACAAAAATAATGATCTTATAAATGTAAAATTGAACAAATTAACATCAAGTTATTTAAATGAATCATGTGTTCATTATTATTGTCATATAATAAAAATTGGTAATAATTAGAGAGTGTGAAATAAAGTAACCTGGATGGTGTGGGCGTGGAGGGGGGCGGGCTGGCTCTGGAGTGTGTGCAGGTAGAGCCGCCCATCCTGTGTAGTTATCCTGGAGGAGCGGAGGCCGTGTTGGTCTTGGTGGACAGCGTACACCCGGCCAGCCTCCAACACCTGCCTCTTGACACCCTCAGTCATCCTGCCCAGATCATCAACCTGTGGACAGTACCACGGCCATTAGCCTTACCGAGTAATAATTACTGGTTGGACGACGACGACGACGACGACGACGACGACGACGACGACGACGACGACGACAACAACAACAACAACAATAAAAATAATAATAAAAAATAATAATAATTATAATGATAATGATAATAATAATAATAATAATAATAATAATAATAATAAAAAATAATAATAATAATAATAAATAAAAAATAATAGTAATAATAATAATAATAAAATAATAATTATTATAATGATAATAAAATAAATAATAATAATAATATAATAATGAAGGCAGACCAAGGAGCCATTTGTTGGTTTATGAAGGCACGAACCCATTTGTTGGTTTTATAATGGCACGACCAAGGGCCATTTGTTGGTTGAGCTGGAAAGGGCCATTTGTTGGTTTATGAAGGTACGACCAAGAGCCATTTGTTGGTTTATAAAGGCACGACCAAGGCCATTTGTTGGTTTATGAAGGTACGACCAAGGAGCCATTTGTTGGTTTATAAAGGCACGACCAAGAGCCATTTGTTGGTTTATGAAGGCGACCAAGGAGCCATTTGTTGGTTTATGAAGGCACGACCAAGGCCATTTGTTTTATGAAGGCACGACAAAGAGCCACTTGTTGTTGGTTTTATGAAGGCAGCCAAGGAGCCATTTGTTGGTTTATAATGGCACGACCCAGAGCCATTTGTTGGTTTATGAAGGTACGACCAAGGAGCCATTTGTTGGTTTATAAAGGCGTAGAACCATTTGTTGGTTTATGAAGGTACGACCAAGGATATTATTTGGTTTATAAAACGACCAAGGAGCCATTTGTTGGTTTATGGAAGGACGACCAAGGCATTTGTTGGTTTATGAAGGCACGACCAGAGGCCCATTTGTTTGTTTATGAAGGCGACAAAGGCCACTTGTTGGTTTATGAAGGCACGACCAAGGAGCCATTTGTTGGTTTATAATGGCGACAAGAGCCCATTGTTGGTTTATGAAGGTACGACCAAGGAGCCATTTGTTGGTTTATATAAGGCACGACCGGGGCCATTTGTTGGTTTATGAAGGTACGACCAAGGGCCATTTGTTGTTTATAAAGGCGACCAAGGAGCCATTTGTTGGTTTTATGAAGGAACGACCAAGGCCATTGTTTGGTTTATGAAGGCGACCAAGGCCATTTGTTTTGTTTATGAAGGCACGACAAAGGAGCCACTTGTTGGTTTATGAAACCAAGGGCCATTTGTTGGTTTATAATGGCACACCAAGGAGCCATTTGTTGGTTTATGAAGGCACGACCAAGGGCCATTTGTTGATTTATGAAGGAACAACCAAGGAGCCATTTGTTGGTTATGAAGGCATGACCAAAGTGTGTTGGTTTATAATGGCACACCAAGGCCATTTGTTGGTTTATAATGGCACGACCAAAGGCCATTTGTTGTTGGTTTTATAACGACCAAAGAGCCATTGTTGGTTTATGGAAGGAGAACAACAAGGGGCCATTTGTTGGTTATGAAGGCACGACCAGGAGCCATGTGTTGGTTTATAACGGCGACCAAGGAGCCATTTGTTGGTTTATGAAGGCACGACAAGGAGCGCATTTGTTGGTTTTATGAAGGAACGACCAAGGAGCCATTTGTTGGTTTATGAAGGCACGACCAACACCCATACACAGCATAGCATTGTTACCTGATGGCTTTGGTAACACGTCCGCTCGCAGTTCATTACACCGAACATAGATGTTATACAGCGAAAATTGACTGTTTGCTGTCTTTACTGTAAATTGTTGATAGTGAATACTTTCATCATTGTGAGTTTTAATCCATTTACAGACCAGACCATTCTTTACATATGTGAGCAGGCCACTTCCTGCTCCACTATTATATGCTGTAAACCCAGCTATCCTGGGTGCAACTTTCTTCTGGGTGCTGGACGTGTAAGGTTCTTGTAAGCCAATTACATCAATGTCAAAAACTTTAACAAACCATTGTAGATCATTAATTCTGCGATTAACACTCCGGATGTTCCATGAAATGAACCTAAGCGTTCGTGTTACTTTTCCCACCTTGAATTTAACGTAGAGAGTTGCACGCTGGCTTCATAGATCAGCCTGACCAATAAGCTGACCCTTCCAATTTCTGTACCTCTGGATTTCCTGATAATGTTCTTCACAGCCCTTATTCCAGTAGGATTTTTATACGCGGGTTCCTTCATCAGTCCCGCGAGATCCTCCTCCGTAAACAATGGAAAACTTACAGGGTCATGAACAGTCTGCAGACCTGGGACTATTATAGAGACCACACTGGCAGTCTGGGGCTCATTCTCCCCATCCATGCTACCATCACTATCGGTCTCGCTCTGGCTACTCACCCTCAAGTTGGCATCATTATGAGAGGAGGCACGAGCTCCTTCAGAAGATCCACTAACACTATCACTGTCATTGTTCACTGGTTCACTTACTTGGCAGGCTTTAACCTGACCTGGAATGGCTAACGAAGGAGAGTCACTGTGCCTGTTGACTTCAGGTGGTGGAGGCGATCCGGCCGCATTGGCATCATTGAGTGGGACTGCTATTGTGGATGGAGGCGACCTCCCAGGACAACTGGGGTGCAAGGCCGTCACACCCTCCTCCCTGGACCTGGGACACTGCCCCCTGGGTGGGGAGGTGTCGCTGTTGATTTCAGGTGCTGGAGGCGACCCCGCAGTGTTGCTGTTGGCATCACTGAGTGGGACCGCTTTTGTGGGTGGAGGCGGGCTCCCAGGGCAACCTGGATGCCAGGCCGTCACACCCTCCTCCCTGCACCTGTAACACTGCCTCCTGGGTCTAGTAGACATAAAGAGTTAATGGGGAGTTAATGGACCCTAGGTGTTATGGTGGGGAGCCCTTTGAGCTTCCTTATCATGTGGTGGAGGTGAGGGTCTGGGGGTTGAGGTGAGGGTGTGGGGTGGAGATGTGAGGGTCTAGAGGAGGGGGTGAAGGTCTAGGGTAGAGCGTGGGGGTCTCGGGGGAGGGGGATGAGGGTCGGAGGGGGGCTAGGGCGTCTCCATCAGGCAGGGGATCAAGGTAGGCCTATATATAAATTTAGATAGGCCTCTTGTTCAATTGAGGAGGCTGTAAAGCACGTTTATGATATAGGTTTATGGAGGTGTGTGTGTGTGAGGGAGGGCAGCTGTCATGCTCACGTGGTGTTGTGGTGTAATAGCGGTATTATGGTGTGGTGCGTCATAAACCTTGTGTTCATGGTGTATTCTTTTACACACACACACACACACACACACACACACACACACACACACACGCACACGCACACACGCACACACACACAAGACCTCGGCAATAATCTTCACCTCATAAGACACGTACAGAATCCTCTTCTTCCTCTCCCCCTTCTTCTCCTCCTCCTCCTCCTCGTCATTGCTCTCCTCTTCCTCCTCCAATAATTTACCCCCGTCCTCACTCTCTCTCTCTCTCAGCTGGTGTAAGAACTGCCTCAGTGTGTAAGAGAATCAAGCTGAGGTGAGGTGTGTTTACGTGACAATACTGAAACAAGCTTCGTAATTAAACTTTAAATGAGTTAATTATTGTTTATATGAGTAATGTCACGTAATGATCGTTGTCTTTGTGTTAATTACATTGTCTACCTGTTAGTGGTAATGATAGTGAAGTGTTAGTGGTGGTGGTGGTGGTGGTGGTAGTGGTGATGGTGGTAGTGATGGTGATAGTGGTGATGGTGGTAGTGATGGTGGTAGTGATGGTGGTGATAGTGGTGATGGTGGTAGTGATGGTGATGGTGGTAGTGATGGTGATGGTGGTGATAGTGGTGATGGTGGTAGTGATGGTGGTAGTGGTGATGGTGGTGGTGATAGTGGTAGTGGTGATAGTGGTAGTGATGGTGGTAGTGGTGGTGGTGATGTGGTGGTGATGGTGGTGATGGTGGTGATGGTGGTGATGGTGAGTGGTGGTGGTGGTGGTGGTAGTGATGGTGATTGTGGTGATGGTGGTGATGGTGGTAGTGATGGTGGGTTGGTGGTGGGTGGTGGTAGTGGTGATGGTGGTAGTGATGGTGGGGTGGTGATGGTGGGGTGGTGATGGTGGTGGTGATAGTGGTAGTGGTGATGGTGGTAGTGGTGATGGTGGTAGTGATGGTGGTGATAGTGGTGATGGTGGTAGTGATGGTGGGGTGGTGGTGGTGGTGATGGTGGTGATGAGGTGGTGTGATGGTGGTGGTGTGGTGATGGTGGTGGTGATGGTGATGGTGGTGAGGTGGTGGTGGTGGTGGTGATGGTGATGGTGGTGTGGTGAGGTGGTGGTGGTGATGGTGGTGGTGGTGGTGGTGGTGATTTGGTGGTGGTGGGGTGGTGATGGTGGTGGTGGTGTGCGTGTGGTGATGGTGGTGGTGTGGTGGGTGGTGGTGGTGGTGTGGTGGTGGTGATGGTGGTGGTGTTGGTTGGGTGTTGGTGGTGGTGGTGGTGATGGTGGTGGTGGTGGTGTGGTGGTGATGGTGGTGGTGATGGTGGTGTTGAGTGATGGTGGTGGTGTTGGTGATGGTGGTGGTGGTGTGGTGGTGATGGTGGTGTGGTGGTGGTGATGGTGGTGGTGGTGATGGGTGGTGATGGTGGTGGTGGTGATGGTGGTGGTGGGTGGTGGTGGTGGTGGTGGTGTGGTGGTGGTGGGTGATGGTGATGTGGTGATGGTGGTGGTGATGGTGATGGTGGTGTGATGGTGTGGGTGGTGGTGGTTGGTGGTGGTTGGTGGTGGTGGTGGTGGTGGTGGTGGTGGTGGGTGGTGGTGGTGGTGGTGGTGGTGGGTGGTGGTGTGGTGGTGGTGGTGGTGAGTGGTGGTGGTGGTGGTGGTGGTGGTGGTGGTGGCTGGTGATGGTGATGGTGGTGGTGGGTGATGGTGTGGTGGTGGGTGGGTGGTGATGATGGTGGTTGTGGTGGTGGTGATGGGTGGTGATGGTGGTGTTATCTGTGATTAATGTTTCGTGTGTGTG